ACCGATTTTCAAAGGGCCATATCTCTGAATTTTACTAAGTGAACGAGAGCTTCAAACTTAATAGCTTCTGTTTCTTTTTCAATTCTCTATACGATGGCATGGTTATTATAGATAAATAAAAAAAAAAGTTGAAATCCCCTGCTTGTAGCTCATAAAATATATGATTTTGAGCAAACTTATGAAGAGAACGTACAACTGGTACTTGGAACTTTTATATTATAATGGATATAACATAAAGCTATCGAATGGTCTTTGTTTTGTGCGAATCCAGTGAGTATTTGTCGAGATATGGTCAAAAAAGAGTATCATGCAAAATCATGGATTTTTCTTCAAAATCTACGTGTGATAGCAAGCAAAAAATTGGGTGACCTTTTTTTGGTCAGGACAATATTGTCAATATTTCATGATAGAGTCATACCAGAGCTTCAAGCAATAGCTCATTCAACAGGGAATTCTTTGGTCTATAATGTTTAGTAATGCTTAACAAAATGTTTTGATGACAGATACTAATTAATCTTTAGAAAACAGTCAAAAAATGGCAAGATGTATCTCATTAAATATCAGGTGAACAATGTACACCAGAGATTTGAAATAAATACCATTGTATTTTCCTTGCAATTCTCTACAAGTTTCATATAAGTTTGAAGGGGTAGTTACTATCAAGAAACGCATAATCTTAAGGTCGATAGATTTCGGAATCCCATGGATCATCATTCAGAACAATAGAAATTGAATCTCCGTTGAGCTTCCACATATGTACACGACACATGTATGAATTTGACTGAGCATTTTAAAAATCGGAGCGTACCAAAAGGGCCATATTAACTTGCTGGTTTCAAGTTATCAATAGATACTTGACATGATGAAGAATCTTGCTTTTAAGGTTAGATAGCTGTAACTTGCTTTGTTCAATAATAATAACATTTGCAATTTAAAGCATGCATATTCCACTGCTTAAAAATAACATCTCCAATGTTGATTATCTCATGAAGTATGCATTTCCAATATAATGTTCCCACTAAGAACTTGCTCCAATATCATTATTCTACAACATATTTAAGCTTGACGAGATTCTAATTTTTTTACCTATGAGGACCTGGATGTACAAAATGTTTTTTAATTTTGAGGTTTTCAACTTTTGGACGATCGAAAATCGATTTTCTAAATATTGATGTTAGAGCCTTGAGACTAGCATGTCCCTATACCAGTTTTTTGCCCTCTAAACGATGGTGCAATTGAAATTTGCGTAGGTAGGGTGGTTGTTGAGAAAAGGGAGATTTTAGAAAATAGTTCATTTTGAATAGGTGCTGCTAGTAAAACTTTTTAAATTACTATATGAATGTGAGATGTATGTGTAGTGAAAGTTGTAGAGGGTACATTTTTTGACTAGGACATGTTTGATGTGAGGTTATGGAAAGTGATGCCAATGAGTAATGACGGAAAATGTTCCAAATGACCGATTTTCAAAGGGCCATATCTCTGAATTTTACTAAGTGAACGAGAGCTTCAAACTTAATAGCTTCTGTTTCTTTTTCAATTCTCTATACGATGGCATGGTTATTATAGATAAATAAAAAAAAAAGTTGAAATCCCCTGCTTGTAGCTCATAAAATATATGATTTTGAGCAAACTTATGAAGAGAACGTACAACTGGTACTTGGAACTTTTATATTATAATGGATATAACATAAAGCTATCGAATGGTCTTTGTTTTGTGCGAATCCAGTGAGTATTTGTCGAGATATGGTCAAAAAAGAGTATCATGCAAAATCATGGATTTTTCTTCAAAATCTACGTGTGATAGCAAGCAAAAAATTGGGTGACCTTTTTTTGGTCAGGACAATATTGTCAATATTTCATGATAGAGTCATACCAGAGCTTCAAGCAATAGCTCATTCAACAGGGAATTCTTTGGTCTATAATGTTTAGTAATGCTTAACAAAATGTTTTGATGACAGATACTAATTAATCTTTAGAAAACAGTCAAAAAATGGCAAGATGTATCTCATTAAATATCAGGTGAACAATGTACACCAGAGATTTGAAATAAATACCATTGTATTTTCCTTGCAATTCTCTACAAGTTTCATATAAGTTTGAAGGGGTAGTTACTATCAAGAAACGCATAATCCTAAGGTCGATAGATTTCGGAATCCCATGGATCATCATTCAGAACAATAGAAATTGAATCTCCGTTGAGCTTCCACATATGTACACGACACATGTATGAATTTGACTGAGCATTTTAAAAATCGGAGCGTACCAAAAGGGCCATATTAACTTGCTGGTTTCAAGTTATCAATAGATACTTGACATGATGAAGAATCTTGCTTTTAAGGTTAGATAGCTGTAACTTGCTTTGTTCAATAATAATAACATTTGCAATTTAAAGCATGCATATTCCACTGCTTAAAAATAACATCTCCAATGTTGATTATCTCATGAAGTATGCATTTCCAATATAATGTTCCCACTAAGAACTTGCTCCAATATCATTATTCTACAACATATTTAAGCTTGACGAGATTCTAATTTTTTTACCTATGAGGACCTGGATGTACAAAATGTTTTTTAATTTTGAGGTTTTCAACTTTTGGACGATCGAAAATCGATTTTCTAAATATTGATGTTAGAGCCTTGAGACTAGCATGTCCCTATACCAGTTTTTTGCCCTCTAAACGATGGTGCAATTGAAATTTGCGTAGGTAGGGTGGTTGTTGAGAAAAGGGAGATTTTAGAAAATAGTTCATTTTGAATAGGTGCTGCTAGTAAAACTTTTTAAATTACTATATGAATGTGAGATGTATGTGTAGTGAAAGTTGTAGAGGGTACATTTTTTGACTAGGACATGTTTGATGTGAGGTTATGGAAAGTGATGCCAATGAGTAATGACGGAAAATGTTCCAAATGACCGATTTTCAAAGGGCCATATCTCTGAATTTTACTAAGTGAACGAGAGCTTCAAACTTAATAGCTTCTGTTTCTTTTTCAATTCTCTATACGATGGCATGGTTATTATAGATAAATAAAAAAAAAAGTTGAAATCCCCTGCTTGTAGCTCATAAAATATATGATTTTGAGCAAACTTATGAAGAGAACGTACAACTGGTACTTGGAACTTTTATATTATAATGGATATAACATAAAGCTATCGAATGGTCTTTGTTTTGTGCGAATCCAGTGAGTATTTGTCGAGATATGGTCAAAAAAGAGTATCATGCAAAATCATGGATTTTTCTTCAAAATCTACGTGTGATAGCAAGCAAAAAATTGGGTGACCTTTTTTTGGTCAGGACAATATTGTCAATATTTCATGATAGAGTCATACCAGAGCTTCAAGCAATAGCTCATTCAACAGGGAATTCTTTGGTCTATAATGTTTAGTAATGCTTAACAAAATGTTTTGATGACAGATACTAATTAATCTTTAGAAAACAGTCAAAAAATGGCAAGATGTATCTCATTAAATATCAGGTGAACAATGTACACCAGAGATTTGAAATAAATACCATTGTATTTTCCTTGCAATTCTCTACAAGTTTCATATAAGTTTGAAGGGGTAGTTACTATCAAGAAACGCATAATCTTAAGGTCGATAGATTTCGGAATCCCATGGATCATCATTCAGAACAATAGAAATTGAATCTCCGTTGAGCTTCCACATATGTACACGACACATGTATGAATTTGACTGAGCATTTTAAAAATCGGAGCGTACCAAAAGGGCCATATTAACTTGCTGGTTTCAAGTTATCAATAGATACTTGACATGATGAAGAATCTTGCTTTTAAGGTTAGATAGCTGTAACTTGCTTTGTTCAATAATAATAACATTTGCAATTTAAAGCATGCATATTCCACTGCTTAAAAATAGCACCTCTGAATCATTCTTTTGAAACATGCAATTATTGCAGTAGCTTTAAAGCTTAAGCTTCATTTATATTATGCAACTTTGAATTTAATGTCTTCCTCGATTCAAACAAGATTCACATCAGGTCAGCAAGACACGTTTGATGGTCGTCCACTACGAAGGTACTGTATCTAGCCGTAACATCAGATTTAAAGTTTGTCCACAATGTTTGATACTCATATTAGGGAGAAGTGGCTAATGTCGAACACACTGAATTGGTGTAAGCACGATGAGTGGAGCAAACAATGAAGTGTTGTATCAAAGCCGATGGAATAAAAGAGATTCATTGCTGTATTCACGCATATAAATGTACCTGAATCACAAACATCGTAGCTGGAATAAAATAATAAATTATAGACATATGGAGCATACGTAGATGAACATTATCAACGTACAAATGACTACCATAATATTCAAATAAGCTAAGTTCTTTAATAAGCTATTTTTCATTTTACTGGCTACTACGCACTCTCCTCGTTTAATTATGTGACATCCAATGTAGCGACTGAAAATTCCTTTATATGCTTAACAGCTCCTCAAAGCAGGCATATAATCGTCCTGATACAAATTCTCTGACATCAACATAGGATGTGAAGTAGCTGCTCCCCCTTCTTGATGAAATGCGCAACATAGGTTTAAACCTTTGCCACACCGCAACAAAGCAAGAAATTATCACCAAGCGGTTTTGAATACATTTTTCAACATCTGACCCATCAATCTAGCGCTCGTAATCACTAGTAGTTAATAGTTTTCATCAGGTTTTACACATAATTATTTGCTCAAGATTATCTTATTTCAAAATAAAAATTCATTTTCTTAATGATTCTAAACGCCCTATTAGTAAAGAGCTGAAGCCAATGAAATATCAATTGATTAGTAGTAGTTTATGCTAACAAATACTATAAGCAACATCCTTATAGACAAAAACTACATCCAGCATGTACATGTTCCAGGATTGTATAATGCACAATATAAATTAAAACCCTCTTTCACAACAACATCATCAACCACTGATATTATTCATTAATTGATATCTTGGGCTTATTGTTATTACATAATCCTAAAAGTTTATTAATTATGTATATGATTTTCATGGTTTAGCGGCAGCAGTATCATTATTTTTGGTGGTATCCTCTGAAGTTGCTGTTACTGTTGTAGTTTCAGTGGGCTCACCAACAACATCATTGCCCAAAGCATCCTTCTTGGGAGCAGCCGTACGACTTGCCATCCAATCGTACCATTCTTCCTCTGTCTTTCCGTTCAAAATGGCAATAATCATGACTGACATATTATCGCATCCGACGCCTCCTCCATCACTATCTGGTGCAAGACAGTGTTCCATCATTTGTTCACAAATGTCTTCCAATCTTGTCTTTTCGGCCAAATGTCCACGAATATAGTTGACAACTTGTTGATTTGTCATGCAATCCCAAATACCATCGCAGGCTAAAACAAAAAATTCATCTTGATCGGTAATTGTATGCTCGATTACATCAGGGTCGCAAGTAACTGCTTGTTGCTCAGGAGGCAAATTGGAGTTTTGTTTAAACTCAAAGTCGCCAATAGCACGCGATAAAGCAAGATTGCCTGCGATTTTTAGTGTGAATAGCTGGATTAGCTTGCCTGTATGTTTGAGCTTACCATTGACACGTCCAAATTCAACAAAGCCACCAGCATTTACAATACGTTGATTTTCCTTGGGATCGACAGGCTTGTGATCGTACGATAAAGCCTTACTTTGACCAGATGTACTAATAACAGATCTTGAATCACCGGCATTTGCCTATAAATACCATTGTCAAATGGCGCCAAAAACCAAAACTACAACAACTTACCACAAATATAGACTTTTGGTCAGGAGTCACCAAAGCTGTTACAGCTGTGCACCCAGAGGGATCATAGGCAAAGTTTTGATCTGTAAAACCTTTAGTTTACACTGCAAACCAGCACCATCTTTCGACATTACCCTGTAAAAGTTCAACATCCAACTTTAAATAAGCATCGATTAAAGCTTTTGCATAATCCTTCTCCTTGTAGTGCGAAGATTCGATAACACGATGGTGAAGCGTTTGCCCAGTATATTGAGCAACAGTTGAACCTGTGAATCTCACATTAAATCTTAAAACCCCTTCTAGGTAACATGGAATTATTCATACCTCCATGGCCATCATAAACACCAAAGAAACTAGCGGTAGTGCCATCTACGTCTAATTCAGCACAGTGAGCGTCTTCCATGGCTATGTAATAAGCGGCATTAGCATGACTAATTAAGGAAAATAGTGGGGAACCATCTCGCTGAAAAATTTTTCCCAATGTAAACTTACTGAGTCTCCAACCTTGCATGGCTGAAAGGCCATAAGCTAAGTTTTTGTTCTTTCCATGATGAGTATTTTTGTCGACAATAGGCTCTGAAAGTGTTTGTCCCATAATTTGTATCTGTTCTCTTAACGCAACTCTATTAACAGCAAAAAGAAATTAGAAATTTGGAGTAAAAAAAAAAAGAAAGGAGGAAAAGGGAAAAAAATACGGACAATCTTTTGTGTCTCTTCAATAATTCGGGCTCGTATTTAGGCTTATTCTTTATTTTTGACTTTAAGTCAATGATGATGGAAAAGAAGCCCAGCTTGGAAAGATAAAACTATCAAAAAAAGAAACTTTGAATGTTACGCAAAGGGATTTGAGAGAAAATGAAGGCTTATATGGAATAAATTGGACATTTAATAACCGAATGATTTGACGGTGCTCTTGAGCAATGTATATAATGCCTTTTCTGAGGTCAATATCCATATTCAATGTCTATCAAACTGTTGCACACTTCATCACAAATTTCTATGATTGTACCCATGAATCGTACAAAGTTTCTTTTTTTTCCATCGATTTACATGAACAATACATGACGTACATAATTTCAAATCAAGTAATTCCCTGATATGAAGAGCGTTTAGCCAGCGTTCCTTGAATGAATCGTATAAACAAACAAAAGACAATCGATTTCGACTGAACGCAGCAGGGTACATGCACTAATTTATGATATGAATACGAAAAGCGTGTTGAGCACCATAAAAGCTCTGAATGATGCTACTGATTTATTTGCTCGTGTTGGGTATAACTTCTGTCTTGAGCACTCTATTTGACTTTTTTCTAGGAACTGGCGCTAATCATCAACTGGGTCAATAATGAGATCAAAATCGTTATTCGCTCATAACCTACCATGCTTATTTTCTCGAATATAAAACTTTCTGAGCATAAGAATGGCCTCCTCGTAAAAATACCCGCCCTCTGATGGATATCCTTTAGACTGTTTCGTATCTAGTCTATTACTGAACACCCATTTAACACTCTATTCAATCTTGATGCTTGTCTACTTACTCTGTATTGATGCTGAATACCGATCCATTACCGCCAAATTTATCGTTGCCGCATCCAAAATACACATGACGAATACCAATTTGTCGCAATGCTGATGCGCACATTACGCAAGGTTCTACTGTTACGTATAGATCTACATTTCTAAAGACGCTTCTGTCATGCTCGTTCAGAATGATATCAATTGCTTCTATTTCGGCGTGTCGAGTTGCCTGTGCCATTGAGTCAGTGGTTGGTTTTTGATCGAATCAAGTAGATTTTACATTATAGCTTTCATTTGGTTTATTGCGGCCTCTAGCAATGATGGTGTCGTTGTTGAGAACAAACACACACCCTACAGGAACTTCCAAGTTGTCATATGCTTCTTGTGCTACAATAAGAGCTTCTCTCATGAAGTTCGAGTCGTATTTTGACATTTTGATATTATTCAACTATTTTGCAGAAACATGTTTGCAATGCTGATTACCTTTTGCACCAGATATTCAGCCACCCATGTGCCTGCTTTTTCTTGTCTCATGCATTTGGTACCTGAAAACCCGCTTCAAAACTTGATTTGGCAAGCTTTGCTTCTCTGTATTTATTGCATGTGCAACATTTCTGTGAATTATCTTTGCATTTGCTTTTGGTTTGTATTTGATTATTCTGGGCTCGCTCTATCGCAATGTATCGATACAATTGATGTGCTTACTTGGAAGTTGATAAGAATATATTGTTGCATTCATCAATAATAAGTATTGACCGCAAGAGCTTTGTGTAGATGTGAAGGTTTTGGCTCCCTTTAACAGAGCATACTTGTATTTGATTCATACGCTAAAGTGGACATTGTACATTGGAGTCCTTTGATTGGAAGCACGAGTTTGCTATCCCACAATCATAGGCGAAAATTACTAACACCTACACTAGTAATATTAGTTTCTGGTCAAACGGATATATCCAATTATGACGATCCCCTATTTTAGTGCCATGGATATAGGAGTGATTTTGCTCAAGCGAGGAGAGGGTCAGTGCATACTGTTACACGAATGCAATAAATCAAAACAAACTAGGAATTTGACAGGCGCATGATGAGTTCTAACCACATGTATCATCGCGCGTAACATGTTTGTAATGCTGTGTACTTGAGATTCTAAATAGGAAAACAGCAAAGTTTTGACGTGTTGTAGGGGTTTCTTCCTTGTGAAATTATCTGTAATGCGGACATGAAACCTGTTGTCATGGCAACCATCCTGGATCAAGCTTCCTGAAAATGGAAACGTCTATCCCTTTGATGAAAGCATGCTTGGTTTGCATACTCTCAGGATTTCGTTCTTGAATAAGAACAAGTGTTAGGCTGTTCTGCTGTCATGTCTTTTGGGGATGGCATGCTCAAGAGTATCAATTATTTCGAACGAATAGCAAGTTTTTTTTTTGCCATTTGTGCGCCGAAAGATTGAAAATGACTCCATATTAATGAGGAACCATCAAATCATTCGTCTTTTAGTATGTTACTTTATCTCAACTAGAAGTTTCTGCTGCTCTCTCCGTTCAGTACTCACAACAGCTGCGCCTTGTGCCCTGAGAATACGGAACTATGTGAAAAAAACCTGAGATGGGGGAGGGAAATGAAGATACACTTAATGATGATTACAAATTCAAACGTATTAATCAGCCTTTAATTTTCTGGATGTAAATTCTCCTTGAATAAACGCGATCAAAGATGAACAAACCCGTTTAGAGAAGATCCAGCTTCATAACGCCGAAGCAAATAAGCATACTTGCTTGATCGGGATTGATCTGTCCCGTTTCTTGACTCGCGTTAAACGCGGTTCTCGTTCACTTGACATGGTGCAATTGGTCTACATATACGGACGCGTTTTTTCATTTTCGAGATCCATTTAAAGCTCTCGACTTCAGTGCATCTTGCCTTCTCTTCTTCCTCCTCTTTTCCTCAAAGAAATACAAATTTATAATCAATGTTTGTCATCAAGAGAGGTATGTATCTGGAAATGAGCATTTCAAGCGATCCCATTATGCTGACATATAACGCAAAGACGGTCGCAAAGAGAAGGTCGCATTTGACAAGGTAAACACACTTGGTTGCGTAAATCTCAACAGTTGTACTCATTGACATGTGTCTATATAGATTACTGCAAGAATCAACAAACTTTGTTATGGCTTGGATACAAATTTCGTTGACCCTGTTACTGTAACTCAAAAAGTCATTTCTGGTGTCTATCAGGGCATTACTACTGTAATGCTCGATACCTTGGCTGCTGAAACTGCTGCTTACATGACCATTGCTCATCCTGATTATGCTATTCTTGCCGCTCGTATTGCAGTCTCTAATTTACACAAGGAAACCCGCAAGGCTTTCTCCGAAGTTGTTCAAAATTTGTACGACTATATCAATCCCAAAAACAATACCCACTCTCCCATGATCTCTGAGAGCGTTTACAAGGTCATTATGGATAACGCTGAACGCTTGAACTCTGCCATCATATATGATCGTGATTTCAACTTCAACTTCTTTGGCTTTAGAACTCTTGAACGTTCCTACCTGCTCCGCATCAACGGCAAGGTTGCTGAAAGACCTCAACATTTGATTATGCGTGTTGCTATTGGTATTCATCCTGATGATATTGATGCCGCTATTGAGTCGTATCATCTCATGTCTCAAAAATACTTTATTCATGCTAGTCCTACTCTTTTCAATGCTGGTACTCCTCGTCCTCAACTCTCTTCTTGTTTCCTCTTGACACCTACGGAAGATTCCGTTGAAGGCATTTTTGAGACTCTTAAACGTTGCTCCCAGATCTCAAAGAGTGCTGGTGGTATTGGCTTGAATGTACATAACATCCGTGCTACTGATTCTTATATTGCTGGTTCCAATGGTGAGGCTCACGGTCTGTTGCCCATGCTCAAGGTCTTTAACAGCACTGCTCGTTACGTTGATCAAGGCGGAAACAAGCGTCCCGGTGCTTTTGCCATCTATCTTGAACCTTGGCATGCCGATGTCTTTATGTTCCTGGATCTTCGCAAGAACTTTGGTCGTGATGAAATCAGAGCTAGAGATATGTTCTATGCCCTTTGGATCCCTGACCTTTTCATGAAACGTGTTGAACAAAATGGCCAATGGTCTCTTTTCTGTCCCAATGAAGCACCTGGCTTGTGTGATGTTTGGGGTGATGAATTTGAAGCTCTTTTTGAAAAATACGAGAAACAAGGTCTTGCTCGTGAAACTATGCCTGCCCAAAAGCTTTGGTTTGCTATCATGGAGGCTCAAACTGAAACTGGTAACCCCTTTTTGCTCTACAAGGATGCTTGTAACCGCAAGAGTAACCAGCAAAACCTGGGCACCATCAAGTGCAGTAATTTGTGTACCGAGATTGTTGAGTACTCTAGTCCTGACGAAGTTGCTGTCTGTAATCTGGGATCTCTTGCTTTGCCAACCTACGTCAACAATGGTGTTTACGATTTCAAGAAGCTTCATGAAGTTGCCAAGGTGTTGACAAAGAATTTGAACAAGGTCATTGATCTCAATTATTACCCGGTTAAGGAAGCCTACAACTCAAACATGCGCCATCGCCCTATTGGTTTGGGTGTTCAAGGCTTAGCCGATGCTTTCATTTTGATGAGATATCCCTTCGAATCTCCTGAAGCCAAAAAGTTGAACTTGCAAATCTTCGAAACCATTTATCATGCTGCCTTGGAAGCATCTTGCGAACTCGCTGCTAAACTCGGTCCTTATTCTACCTACGAGGGCTCTCCTGTTTCTAAGGGTCAATTGCAATATGACATGTGGGGTGTAACCCCTACTGACTTATGGGATTGGGATAACCTCAAGGCTGATATTGCCAAGCATGGCGTTCGTAACTCTCTTCTTCTGGCACCTATGCCCACTGCTTCTACCTCCCAGATTCTCGGTTTCAATGAATGTTTCGAACCTTATACCTCCAACATTTATATGCGTCGTGTGCTGTCTGGTGAATTTCAAATTGTCAATCAGTGGCTGATGAAGGATCTCGTTGAGCTTGGTATCTGGAACGATAAAGTCAAGAACAAGATTATGAATGACAACGGTTCTGTTCAAGATGTTGCTGAGATCCCTGCTGACCTGAAGGAGCTTTACAAGACTGTCTGGGAAATCTCTCAACGTACCATTATTGATATGGCAGCAGATCGTGGTGCTTTTATCGATCAAAGTCAAAGTATGAACTTGTTTATCGGTAAGCCCAACCTGGGTCGCTTAACATCAATGCACTTTTATGCCTGGAAGAAGGGTTTGAAGACTGGTCAATACTACCTCCGTATTCGTCCTGCTGTTGATGCTATCAAGTTTACTGTCGATCAAGAAGCTATTGAAACTTATGAAGGGGAGAATGAAACTGGTACAAAAGAACTTTCTGTTACGAAGACCCAAGTTTCTGTCAAGAAGGAAAGTGGTGATTTGCAAAGCAAAATACCTGTAGTTTGTAATGAAGAAGTCTGTGTCAGCTGCAGCGGTTAATATTCATAACGTCCTTACTCTTTTCCTTCTTTTTTGTAAATAATACATCACATTTCATTACATCTTTTCTAAAACGAAAAATTACACTTTCATATCAAAAACACAATAAAAAACATACTCATCTCTAAATCAAGCCCGAAGTGTTATCAATATGAGCATTCAAAAGCAACATTCACCTTCAATGATAAGAATAGCATTTAGTTTTTTCAACCACCAAAACCGGTTCAAGCTTCGATTGGGCTCTGCTCCAGATTGGACAGATTTTGATCTAAATCGACTCAATTCATCTATTTTGTGAAATTTGACTATAAAATTCCAGTAATTATCCTATTATTATATTTCCTAATGCTTCCCTGGAGTACTTCTCAAGGCGCATCCAACGGTGTAAATTATAGTCTGTTCCAGATTGGCCAGATCTTGATATTTTTCGTCTTGATCATGGCTTCCTCTGCTAAAAAACAGAGTGATAACAGTGATCCACCCACACAAGGTGGTTCAATGGATTCTAGCGATAATCCAAGCAATCAACTATTTACGTACCAATCCTTTACCGATGCTCTCAAGGAACAGAAGAGACACAACTTTGAAGTTGTACCTGATGTGGATAACAACACATTCAAACCTCTGAACACCTACTCAACATTCATTGAAGCTAAAGAGCGCAATTCTATCGTCATCGACTGTGCTCAGTTCTTGGGCATGGAGTTCAAGGACACGATTCTCCTCAAGGTACTGCGAGAACAGTTTCCCAAATGCTTAGGTCTCAAGCCTAGGATCATTGGCAAAAACAGGAAGAAGGCCATTGAACTTGGGTTCACAACTGAAAACCTCTGTCGCGACGCTCTCTTGAAGGAATTCAAGTTCAATGGAAAAGTCATTGAAGTCAACAAGACGCTGAATCATACTGCAAACGTAATCGACATTGGTATCTCTGAGATCCCACTCATGAAAGAGGATGAATTGAAACCAGCCTTGATCAAGATATTTGAAAGATATGGCGATATCTTAAACATTGGTATCTCAAAGAGTGGAGACTCTGACTGGCTTACTGGAAGAGGATTCACTACTCTTAATCGGGATAAATTAAAGGAGTCCACTTATGCAAACATCCTAACCCCTCAAGTTGAATTAGAAGGTTTCCCAGGCACCAATTTGCACCTGGTATGGTCCCAGATGAAGCCTATCTGTACTGACTGCCCCAAGAGAACAAGAAGACTCTGTCACCGTTGTAAGAGTTCTAACCACTTGATTGCGAAATGCCCTGTAGTCCCATGGAACAACAAACCAACGGAGGAAAGCAATGAAACCAAACCAAGCAAGTCTACCCCTGGATCCAAGCAGAATGAACTCCAGTTGGTGTCACGTAGAAATTCCAGCAGCAGAGAAGTCAACCTGCTTGATCTTGTGAAACAAGGTCAGCCACAACAACCAGCATCCCAAAATCAATTTGAAATATTGAATCACGAAGTGGAAATGGAAGAGGTCGAAGAGTCCCAAGAAAATGAAGAAAAAGACACTGAAAAGTCCACTTCACTAGACAAAGGTGTCAAAATGTCTCGCTCTTCAAGTGAACCAGCCAACAAGAAGCCGATCAAGGCTACCCCATCTGTCACACAATCTACTCCTCACCTCGCCACCAGAAGTAACCAAACATTGAAGCTCACTGACGTTGACAAGCTCACTCCATTGAAATTCAAAAGAAATCTGGATGATGCTATATCCCCAAATGGCCAACAGGAAACTGCCCCATCTTCAAAAAAAAAAAGAACACAAAAAAGAATGAATCAAGCACCAACGAAGCAGCCGGCTCTTCCAATACCTCTGGTAGCGGAAAGCCACCGCTGAATAAGTTGGATTAGAACTTGAGCTAGAAAAAAGAAAAAAGAAAAAAAATGAATAATAATACTAAACACCTAAACATCAAAGTAGGATCTCTTAACTGTAGAAACCTACATTTGAACACCAACCAACACATTACTGACACCTTTACTGGCCTGCTGAAAGACAAGAAATTAAATATACTACTGTGCCAAGAAACTAACATCCCTTTTCACTCTTTTGAAGAAGTAACAGACAACATGAAGATCAAATTCAACTACCACCAAGCAATATGGACCCAACACTGTGCCACAATCAATTTCAACAACTCACTTAACCTGGAAAAAAATCAAAGAATCTAACAATGGCAGAATGATCCTGGCAAAGCTCTCCATAGCCGACAACTCCATTCCACCAGTATATATCTTGAATCTGTACGCTCGCTCAGGCATATTCGCTGAAGAAACCTCACAACACAATCAATTCTACAAGAGAACAGTAGAGATGTTGCTAACAATGCCTGAAATTATCCCTGACCTGATAATGGCGGGCGACTTTAACTATAGCTTTGACAGCTCATCAAACCACGCTACTAGGCGCATAGCAAAACCGAAACATCTCATCAATTTTATAAGGGGGTATATGAATGACTGTATTAACACAAAAGATGAAAAGTATACCTATACCTGTATTCAAAAGCGGCGCGAATGGGTTACCTTATCTACAATCGACTACATCTTTGCTGGCACCAACACTCACAAAAAGATGCACAACGGGGACGTGGAATTCTTCAGCTATGTATACACCGACCACGCTCTAATCACGATTACATTGACAGTGGAAATGAGCAACAATGGAAAAGGCATATGGAGAGCAAACCCACACCTGGCTAAAAACAAGAGATTCACCAAGAAGCTATCAAAGGAAATCAACAACTATGTACAACACAAGCTGGACCCGGATCTTTCTGCACAAGTCAAATGGGATTTAATCAAGAACATGGTCAAGAAAGTTACAACAAATTTCTGCCGCCATCACAACCAATGGAGAGAGATTAAATTGAAACAATTGAACAGTGAAAGGAACAGAGTACTTCGACTCTATGGAAAAGATCCCCTAACATTGAAGGTACTACTACCACCTATACACCAGGAGATCAGCAAAATCCAAGAAGAAAAGTACAACATTAGCAAATTGAGAGCAGGCAAGCGCTGGATGGAGCAGAATGAAAATTCACCTGCATACATCAAGAAAACCATTGACAGGCGTCTAGAAACGAAGACAATGCCCATACTGAAACACCTAACTACTCTAACAGAGTGCACTGACACCAAGTCGGAACTGGATGCCGTCCATACCTTCTATTCCAAATTGTATAGCCCTGAACGGATCGATATAAATAGCATGGAAGACATACTGAACCACATTACTGTATTTATTTCCCAGGAGGAAAGCGATCAGATTATTGATGACATTCCGTTTGCAGAGATATTTGAGGGAACCTGTAGGAGCCCCAAGTCTAGCTGCCCTGGCTTGGATGGACTTCCATATGAAATCTTACATGTCATAGCAAGTCAATCGATATGCTAAATAATTAACACCCAAGTATATAGCGACGCAATCAAGCTCGGTATATTCCCAAAGTTGTGGCAACAGGCTTGTGTAGTATTACTCCCCAAGAAAGGTGACTTATCTGATCTCAGCAATTGGAGACTTATTACATTGATCAACACAGATTGTAAAGTCTTCACAAGGATAATGAACTCACGAAGCATGACAGTGGCGAGCAGACTCATAAACAAAGTACAGACTGGGTTCATGCAAGATAGATACATTGGTGACCAAGGAATGGCTCTGCGAGTGATGATGGACAATGCCAAGACAGCAAAGGGAAATGACAAAGATGAATTTGAAGAATATGTGGGAGTCATGTTGGATAACAACAAAGCCTACGACCGAGTGCACCCACACTACCTGGCTCAGGTACTCCAGAAGTTTGGATTCCCAATGGAGTTCATTAGATGTATAGAAAACCTGTTTTTTGACAACGAGATTTTCATCAACATGAATGGATTCCTAACCAAACCAGTCAAACAGAAGAGAGGATTGCGACAAGGAGACTCTATTTCACCAATCTTGTTCAACTTTGCAATAGATCCCTTCATACTGTCAATCACTAACAGTCAAGACATATCTGGATACTCAATAAACCAACCAAGCCAGCACCACAGAGGACAATTCAGCTCAACACCCCCACCACCTACAAAGATCATGGCCTATGCGGACGATATTCTCATCTTTGTCAAATCAAGAACGGAATACATGGCAATGGAGGAATGCATCAAGACGTATGGTAAGGCATCAAACTCAAAGATCAACTATGACAAGTCATTGGCGTTTCCCCTACATGGTGGCAGAATGGAAGGGTATTTCGGTACAAGACTGAAAACTTACACTCAACAGCGAATGAAATGGTTCGACTACAGTAGCCCAGAGTACATCAAATACCTAGGGTATCCAATATACTATACAAAACAACAACGGGATTGTTTCATTGCAGACTTAACCGCCAAGATCAAAGTGCAAGTAGAATTCCTCAACCCCAGAAAAATATCAATGTACGGTAAAGCCAATGTCGCTAACACAATTATCCTGTCCAAACTGTGGCATGTCCTCAGGCTGACACCTCTACCGAAAGCAACCATCAACAAGCTCAACTCTATCATATATCAATACATAGTGGATGAGAAGAGACTGCAAATCAAAAAGGATGTGTACTACCTACCCAAGGACCAAGGAGGGCTAGATTTGCTACATGTAGGCGTCCAACAGCAAACCCTGCAAATGAGGTATATCACAGCATTACTATACCACGACCAATTCAAAACAATCCCGCGGTACCTATACCAATTGATGTCACATACGCTACAAATGGAGACGAACCTGCCTCACATTGATACCATACTGAAATTTAAAAAAGCAAGAAGCTACAAGAACAACCTAAAAGATGGGGCCATGAAACTGATTATTGAAACAATGAATAGTCTTCTTACAAACTGCCGACCAGATTTTACCGATACACCCATCAATGTCAACGCTTGTTTAACTCTACCACTGACCACCATCTACAAGGACTGGGAAGACTCGGAAACTGCTGACTACCTCAGGAACCCTACAGCCAAGAGAAGCCTAGTGCAGGATTTTTTCAAGCCTAATCACAATTACACAGCCCTCGAATACAAGACTAGACAAGAATGCAAATCACCGCAGATACTGTACAAGCTCAAAAGAGACCACAACAATAACCAGTTACACCTCCAAGATTTCTTCAGCAATTTACTTCATCCAAAAAACTCAATACCCAACCACCAGGAAGAGGCAACTAGTCTAATTCAACATTTTGAGCACAACAGCAACATCATTTGGCTCTGCAAGAACAAAATAATCAGACAACTGCTACTCAAACAACTGGCTATACAACTGCCTATACAACTGCCAAAAGATCACAACAAAAATATCAACCCCAAGCAATGGAAAGCTTTCTACAGATCACATATGCACCAGTCACCATGAAACTTATGGCTCAAGATCATATATAACAAAGTCCCCTGCAGAAGTTTCCTATACCAAAGTCAAATCAAAGATGTAGAAAACAACAGATGCATACAATATAACGAAGTAGAAGACGCCAGACACCTTCTCATGGAATGCGGAAACAAACACGACGTCTGGGGACCGTCTTTAAAAAACACCTAAGCTATCCAACCACAATCAACACTCACCGCATATACAAAGACATGCAGAACCTGACATTATCAAGATACTACATTTACAACCTGGACCTCAAGGCCAACATCTTCGACCTTTTTGCCGCCATAATCCGAGTAATCTGGATCCACCATTTCTTCGTACACTACCGTGGTACCCCTTTTGAGCCCCAAACAGTTATTAGCAATATCAACAGAGAACTGGATAAGCTGTCCAGAATGGATAGTATTGATTTATAAGATTTCATAAGATACAATATGGAAAGTCACTTTACCTAGTATACACTTGATCCATTTATACAATGATTTTATTAACTATTTATTCATAACTACTTAATAAAACTTTCATTCCATACAAAAAAAAAAAAAAAAAAAAAAAAAAAAAAAAAAAAAAAAAACGACTCGATTGAACTATTTTGCCAGATACGACTATATAAAATATGGTAATCACCCCGTGCTTCTTTAAGCTTTCTTGATGCGCTTTTCAAGGCGCATCCAATGGCACCAAATAAATTAAATGTTTTTCATAAACTTATTGAGTAATTTATAAAAATATGAAAAGAGGTTTCTGGCCAAAAAGTCGAGATTTTACATACCAAAGTCCCACAAAGATAATTTCAAGTGTTACGTTGGATCGATAGAAACATTTTGATTTAAGATATACCATATTAAAAGCCCTCATTATCAAGGTCAAAAACGCGATTGTTTGATTTTCGATGAAAACCATAAGGGGTACCTGGGGGTGGCTAACGTACCAACAAAATATCGTTTTCTATAGACATACTTTGGCTAACGCACTAGCAAGATATTCTTAAAGTACCAACAAAATATCCTCTTCATTCGCCATACATTTTTTTTCGATCCTGACATGTCAACTAAATCTAACAATGTATTTGATCTCTTGTATAAGACAAGTAGACGATCGACCTTGCTACGCTGGATGACCGCGTTGTCCTGCGGGCTATCACCGAAGACATTTCAATTCAGAGATATCACATAAATTTTAGACATTCAATTAATAGTGAGAGATTATTGTCATTGCAAAAAACACTTTTACAGGGAAAAACTCTGAACAAAAGTATATATATATACATATATTTGGACTAAGTAACTGTTCTTTCAAATATATGACCTCCATTGGGTCAGTATCGCAATTATTATTGCCATCATCAGAAAGGCATTCGGGAAAGCCAGCATCAGCGAAGTTTGCCAAAATCAATTCAACTCAGATTTTTTTTTTGTTCAAGATTGGTCAGATTTTGTTTTTTTCGACTTAATTGAAACCTTTTGCGAGATTCGACTATATGGATTGTGAAGATCACCCTACGCTTCCTAATACATTCTTGGAGTACTTTTCAAGACGCTTCCAATGGCACTAATTATAATATGTGCTTTGAATGAAGCTATTGAGCAATTTGGCAGAACATGAAATGAGGTTTTTAGCGAAAATAGCCATATTTTGCATATGAAATCCTCATAAAAGTGGTTTCATAGATTGCTTTGGATCGAGAGAAACGTTTTGAATTAATATATACCATAGTAAAGTCTCTATTTTCAAGGTGAAAAAGGCGATCGTTTAATTTTCGTAAAAAACCATGAGGTACCCCTCATGGTTTTCAGTGGAATTTTGGCCATGTTTTTTTTTTGGTCCCAAAACGTTGAGCAACGGTGTCAGGAAGTTACTACTACTCGAATACAACAATTTGGTGTCATTCCGGTGGCTCAGAAAGATCTACATGTCAATATATGAAGGCTTGAAAGCTGTCAAAATTGGTAATGTTTTTGCTTTACAGCTTTTATTTACACAGCGTGAATCACATCTTGGTGGATGGATAGCTGAAATTCTTGAAGAGGGCAGTTCTGCAGTCTGTACAACTTCTAATTTGAATAGGAGGCATATTGGTTTTGGTAAAGCTCAAAATCATTCTCTGGACTGCACAAATTTACAACTATTCCTCAGTAATGTAAATCAATAAATTACACCACAACTCAAACTGAAAGCCTATATTGACAAATTTATACTTAATAGGAACCAGAAACTTGCATTTTTGTCATTCATCGTCTTGTATTTATATTACTTGCAATACGAGAAGTTTGCAAGTCTATCAATGTCTAGAGATAATTTGTTGGTACGTTAGCCACCCCCGGGATACCTCATGCTTTTGGTGTGCTTTTTGGTCGATTTTTGGCCATGTTTTTTTGATTCCCAAAAAGTTGAGCAGAGATGTCAGAAAGTAACTGCCTGATGAGAGCAACCGTTTGATGCTATTCTGACCATCTAAAACGGCCTTGAATGCGAGAAAATGCAGCATAAATGCCCTTAGATTTTGCTGTACCAGGGACCTTAAGGACTAAAAAGGGGCAATACCAGTATGCTGCTTGCCCGTATACAAAGTAGCTACGTATATATGGATGTAGAGTATCACAGAATAATCAGATTCACAGATAATACGAAAGGTTTTCATGTATAAGTGGAGGATCAAAATGAAAATAGCCGTATTCTGATAAGATACGCAAGAGCAATCAGTAGCACGAGCTGCCGCTGCGCAGGTTGGTTCTCACCGAAGCGAAGCGAAGGTAGAGAGCAACCTGAAGCATAAACACTCGTATGCCATAGTGAAAATATTCATTTTTGAGGCCAAAACGCGATCATTCGATTTTTTTATGAAAACCATGAGGGGTACTTCATGGTTTTTAGCCATGTTTTTTTAGGTCTCAAAAAACTTGAGCAGCGATATCAGTAAGCAAGTGCTAGATCAAAGCAATTATTTAGCGCTATTCCGGTGGTCAAAAACGGCTTTCAACATGAGAAATCACTGCTCAAAAGCATCCAAATTCTGCTGTGATTTGCATATTTTTAAGTATCCAGAGGTACTATGAGTATGCCGTCTATGTATATATGAATCAATTGCATTAGTATATACATGGAGTACCGTAAAAGGCTTGGGCCCATTATTACAGACTGTTTGTGGAGAGTCAGCACGTAACAAAAGTGAAGCCCCTTGCTATTTTCCTTGTTTCCACAATAGAGATGATGATGGCCTAACAATTTTGATCAACACTAGAATCGCTATGCATTGAGTGTAAATATTCTTCGCATTGCATTATTGCAGTTGCAGTTTTTCATTTATCGAATCAAAAATTTGTGGATTTACTATTCTTATGGAAGACAGGGAGCCCCTTTTTGCTTCAAGATTTAAAGCAGGAGCAGCTAGGTATTGCCCATGCTTAAAGGGATGAAACAAAATGCCTCAATGATTATATATATATATTTATATATTTATATATATATATCTTTCAGTTGGGTCGCTCAATCAGGTAAACGTGGACTGTATACTGGCATACGGTGATGGGAACCATCAAAGCACTTGATGATGGCTTTGTGGTCTAAAGATAGTGTGTAGACGGACTACTGTGATAAATTGACAACTTGATTTCATAATCCCTTGAACTATCACTGCATAAGATATGCATTAATGCACAACATATGCTGTAGCCATCAAATGCTATATTGTACCCTGCTCGCTGCTATGATAGCAAGGCTACACTTTGCACCATACCTAGCATTAGCAGAGTACAGTGCGTAGGTTACATTTCGACGGTAGATTGAAATGCAGATGGTGGTGCATTGACTCTTTGATGCTTATAATTGTGATTTGGAATTTCGTTAAAGCTATGAACATAAAGAATCAATCAAAGTAGCTTTGCGGTCAAGTATATTTATAGTTCAAGATCCAAGCATGGCGTTGTTTCTCTGTTTTGTTTCTCATTGTTGAATTTCTGATCTGTGGTCGTGGCTTTCCAGTGACCTTTTTTCTTGATAGCATCCTGTTACCATTCGAAAAAAAATGGGAAGGAGAACCAGATTGAGAACCTTATCCCTTCACTCTACACAACACAATGTCTGTCAACTACACAGTAGCCGATTTGAAGCCAAGAATCTTGGAGAATATTGATAAACTTGAATATCCAGCTGCATACACATTCTGTCAAAAGGCCTTAGAATTAGAGCCTCGCAACGCAGAAATATTAGAAATCACTGGCCAGGTCGAGCTGGAGCTTGAACAGTTTGAACTGGCAAGAAAGGTAGGACTATGTTGCGGCTAGCATGCAGAAAAAGAGGCTAATCCGCCATTTCAGCACATGTTGGAATCTATCAAACTGGAGCCAGAAGCTAGCTATAGTAAATACATGTATCTGGGTCAATTATCTGTTGAAAAAGAAGCCATTGCTGCATTTCAAAAGGGTGTGGATCTGATGGTAGCCGAAAGAAACAAATCAAACGTGGATTCAGAGGAAGCCAAGATGCTCGCATCTAAAATTTCCAGTGCATTATGTTCCATGACTGAAATCTATCTGACTGATTGCTGTTTTGAACCTGAAGCCGAGCAGAAATGTGAAGAATACCTAAGCCAAGCACAACAAGTAGACTCAGAACACGCAGAATCATATCAACTACTAGCATCTGTCAGATTAAGTCAACAACGCAACGAAGAGGCAGCATCTGCCCTAAACAAATCCATGGAATTATGGATCCACAAGGAAGCTGGTGACGCTACTATACCCATTTACGACACGAGACTTGCTCTGGTCAAATTACTGCTCGAAGTTGGCATGTTTGAACATGCTTTCACAGTTTTGGAGAATCTACAAAAGGAAAATGACGAGGTTGTTGATTTATGGTATCTCTATGGCTGGACCTATTACTGCTTGGGAGATGACGAAGAGAGAACACAAGAGGAGAGAATGGCATTCTGGGCAGACGCAAGGGATTGTTTGGAAACTGCTGTCAAGGTAAAGTGTCTATTGCTTGTAAACACCCAAAAACTAAGTATAATCGTTTTGACAGTTGTATAATATTATTGGATCTGATGACGATGCCATGTTTGATCATTCGAAAGAGCTCATCCAACTCATTAATCAAGTTGTTCCTGTCAGCGTGGAAGAGCCAGAAGAGGAGATTGATGAAAATTTCGAGATTGAGTCTGACGATGAAGATGCAATGGAAGAGTAATGCGATATACACAAATAATACATAATAGAAATAGCTACAATGACAACGAGATTTACCAAATAAATATTTGAATATATTAAAAATCAACCACAATGCATGCATCAATTCACTATAAAACGAAAATATAACATTCTGTAGACCCTTTTAATAGAAAACTCCTGGGCAAGGGATTTCTTTGTGTTTGTGAGCAGGTGAAATAAAGGGGGTGGTTTTATTCAGGCATAGGAAGGAAGCGAGAGAGAGAGAAAGAGAGACCAAAGAGAAATGATACAATGACACGCACTAGCTAAAATATAGCACAAGATCATCTCATTACTTTAATATACAGTCTCAAGAATGATGGGATAAGTTAAACACGATATAGCCAGATCTGACACACATACACAACGGGATAAAGGCCTTTTTTTTCAAATAATTACATTCCTCCAAAGCTTCTTGTACGGCCAACAGCATCATCAAACAAACAATAACAGGCGATCAAGGGGTGGAAATTGAAGCCACACACACAAATGAATCCCTTGGATATATTGTAATATTATTGCCCCTCTTCCCTATTTCATCAGACTCCTAGCAAAAACACAAAAGGGTGGAAATTGTAATTTGATGTGAAATTAGGGTTTATTTGCTGTTTTCTTGCGTGGGTAATGCTGTCAAAATCATCCGTGTATATATAGAAATTTTGATTTATCATCTGCTTGTATTTTTATACATTTACCTATATACAGAAATTAACTTTTTATACCATCATTGCCATCATCTTGATCCTCGTTGATCCCTTTTTTTTAAAAAAAAAAAAAAAAAGTATATAAATGCATCGATATTATTGTAAAAACTCACACTTTTTTTTTTCTACACTACAAAACTAACTACGCTCTAAACAACATGAAGAGTAAGTGGGCTCATCATGTATTTTTCAAGCTTCTTACTAACATTGCATTACAGTCGCTGACATGCTTAACCCGACTGCCATTAGTCAACTCTCTTCTCCACCACTCTCACCTCAGCAAGAAGAGTACTGTCCTTCTATGATGAAACGTGATAGTACAAGCAGTGCTAGTAGTTCAGACACTAGCTTGGGAACCGTTACTGGAAAGCCAAGAAGTAGATTTTCAGACATCGAGGATGCCATCATTTGCGAAGGCGTAAAAAGAGGATTAACTTGGGGCCAAATTTCAGGCCAACTGCCACATCGCAAGCGTGCCACTTGTTTCAACAGATATCGTACACTTCAAGGCATTCGCAAATCTCGCAAACGATCTATGCAGGACATGAGATCACCACCTATCACTCCACCCAGTTCTTCATCTTGGCTACCAAATACCCCACCAACGAAGCAGGAATATCATCATACATATGCCCATACTCATGCCCAACGTCATCACAGTTCATATCACCAATTTTACAATAACAATCAGCTGCCTGCACTCGTAGCACCTCTACCAACGAGATTACCACTACCATTCTCTTATGCAGATCGAATTCATTAAGCTTTTCCTTTCATTTCCTATCCCCAACTCTTATGATTCACTTTATGCCTATTTCATATCATCATCAACAGCATCATCAACAGCATCATCATATTCATAATTATCATTTTACCTTTGCATTTAATCATACACAGTACTATCAAGAGGATTACTATAATGTCCTCAAGCTTATTCTATCAAACATAATCCCCTTTTTAAACTTTCTTGAAGCCCCTTCCATCTCCTTTCATTCCACTTTGTAAATATCAGCACTTTTTCTTTTTATTCTTTCTTCATAGTCATCATAGTCCCCTTTCCATGCCAAATTAAAATAAAAAAAAATATATATAAAGATACATCAAAATACACGTTGTTGTCGGTTTATATCTCAACAAGTTTATATTTACATTTGCTACCACATTTGTATAAAAGGGGATGCTTTTATTTGATATATATATATATATTGTGGATGAGTGTATATGATTTAATCTTGCTTGGGAAGTGATTGAGCCATGATAATACCACCATCAACGATATTGCCGCTTTGATAAACACAAACAACAACACTAGCAGTAATAACAATTAAAAGGACACTGGTCCAAAACAACAATTGGAAATCACCGACAGCATCAACATACTGACATGCTTCTCCAACGTAGGATGATTTACAGGCACAAGTGTAGCAGTTCTCCTGAATCTTGGTGCACTGACCATTACCGCTGCAATTAGAGGTGCCATTCTTGCAGGCGTCAGATGTCTTGAAGCATGTTTCCTCGACAGGGAGAGCACGCTTCTTTTTGTGGGTGTTGGAAGGAGTCAAAATAAAGGTGGAGACACCACGAGCATGCAATCCATGGAAATTTGGTATAACGAACTTTTCAAAAAGATCCATGACGATGAGTTGAGCTTCCTTGTATTCGCTTGATTCAAAACCGTATTCTTGACCGATCAAGTTCAAGGTGTCCATTTCAATGAGACGGATTTCCTCTGGGTTGCTGTATTGAGATGCATCCTTTACAACCTGCACTTCAGCGATGAATTTGCTGGCAGCCTATCATACATGAAACAGATGGAAATGAGCTATTTGGTTGTTGCGAGTTGATCACTGCCCATCTACCTCGTTCTCCATGCTGAACAGATCGGTATTGTAGTCAGAAAAGTCCATCTTGAATTCCTCGTACATGTGCTCATCCTGGGTAATCTTTTCAATGACATTGGCGCCCATCTTGATGGTGGCCTGTTTCAGGGGAAAACAGAACGCGTTTCAGGTTCAAGTCGATGAGATCACATTCTCTGTAACTTACCTCTTGATCCTTGTATGTGACAACAGCAAGGTCGTCGTTGTTCTTGATCGCTTCATCAACACTTGATTCGACCAAGGAAGCATAGTTGTCAGGTTCATCATCAGAAACATAAAAGGATGTATCAAGCATATCTGTTGTTCAATCCATAACCATATTAGTCACCTCATAAAAAAAAAGCACACAACACAACCACTCACCTGGCTTAGCACCAGAGACAATGACAATCATGCTGCCATCAACCTTCTTTTCAAACAAGCTGGAGGATGCAGGCAAAAGAGAGGCGAGCTCTTGAACATCTTTGAAAGAATCCACATTATTTTCATTTTGCATACGTAAAGCAGTATGCTTAGAGGAAGTATCCATCATATGAGAATAGAACATGGAGAAAGAGTTCATTGAGACTTCAGGTGCTGTTGAGCTAAGCGTATTCTCGTTGTTGGATGAAACCAAATGTACAGAGGAGCGAGCTACATAGAAACATGTTAGGTGCTGAAGGCATCTTGTGGTTGCTTGCATTTACCGAGAACGCCAGTCAATACAGACGCGATCACCGTTGTCAAGGATAATAACTTCATTTCTTGTTTTTATGAGAGCACTGGATACTCGATGAAAACAACGATGAGGAAAAGAAAAAAGATTAATGTCTTTCACGTTAGACCTGTTCTCAGAAAAGTCTCGCAATGATGCTTTTTAGATAGCCGAAACATCGTTGGAAAGGTGACGTGTGTGTGTGTATTGAAGCAATGCTCTTGCAAACATGAAACGGGCAGATGTTCCTTGGACACGCCATGCTTGATTTCATGAGCCTTTGCTATTTGATTTTCTTGTATTCAAAACAGATTTCAGTCATCTCAGATCAGCCGAACCTCCTTTGCAAGATGCTAAAAATGTACCATTTCTTTGACCATCTAGATGCTGAATGAGACACAGGAGTCAGATCCCTCTCCAAGCATCGAATTCATAGAACAGTTTATCAGGGTACGCATTAGCGGCATATTGCTATATCTAAATGCCATTGTATATCATTCATCTTGATCTGTATAGTAATTGCTGGGAATAGCAAAATGATGCTCATCAACATGGGATCACAAATTTCGATGTTAACTTCATGTGTCAGATCAAACAATCCTCATCAGGCCTCTTGTCTACAATCCCTGACAAGCATCCAGAAATTGCAATTCATCTATTTTAGAGTATAACCACAGGTCATATGCTTTTGACAGTAAATAGTCCGAGATAGTACTTGCATAGTATAGGATTAGATCAACAAATAGTGACATGTATAAACGTTAGCAAACATACCATGAAAGGGATTACCTTAATTTAGATTTCCTTGTAAGATTTCTTGTCAACGGCCGAGAAAATATTGGTATAACAGACTTTTATTAGAAATACAACTATTAAATTATTCTACATGGCAGGATTAACCTTGGAGGAGTGCTGATGGAAGAAACTGCTCACTAACTTTTTCATCTTACTGCTGCTCGGATAGCAATACTGTTGGATCGTTGTCTTGCTAACACTATTGATGTCTTTTATCATCTTGATGGGGCAATCTACTGCTTCTTCGATAGTACTATAACACAGATCACAAGCCAGTTCGTACTCTCTTATCACCTTTGGCCAACCTGTTTGAGACGTTTGACACATATCACAATCAAAATTGACTTCCAGTACATTTGGGTTCCAACGAGTATCCCCATACATTTCTCGATCCCCATATTCAAAGCAAGCCAACTTGAATGTCTTTGTCCAAACCTGATGTATATCCAGTGCATCACTGTTTGTCTTCTTCTTCTTGCTGGGCTGATTTTCCAGATCAGACAAATAAATTGCAGATTCCAAAACAACCTGGGCCTGATAGCTGTCAAATCCTGACCAGAACTCGCATCCTTGTTTTAAGTAAGCTAGCTGCTGTGTCGATGTCATGATGGTATCCACAGATCCTCTTCGTTGAGTGCATAATTGATCTTGTTCGTCAAACTGAGCTGATACTGTTTTGGACATGAGTTTGAGATGGGCTCGACATTTTTCGAGCGCTTCTCGTTTCTCGGAGACTTGTTGCTCGGCTTCTGCATTAATGTCTCTTGCTTTCAGGTAGCGCTTTTTGGATTGCGCTGAAAGGAGAGGCACTGAAACAACGGCATGGTAGTGTTGCTCGCAACGAATCTTCTTTTCTCGACTTTTTTCTGCAATGGCTCTAGCAAATTGTAAATCTTGCTCCAAATGTATCTGTTTTCTTTGCAATTCCTTTTGCTGATGACTGATCTTTTGCAGCCCTTGATCCAATGCATGACCTCGATCATTCAAATGATGAATGAGTTGCTCCAGAGAACTTTTTCTTCGATTGTACTGCTGGGAAATGATGTCTACGGTGGTCAAGTAGTCATGTATCATTCTGCGCCGATATTGGACTTGATCAATGACCTGTTGTAGCAGCTTCTTCTGTGTCATCAAATGCTTCTTGGTTCCTCTATAGCTCACAATTTCCTCTGCTTTTTCGATATTCACAGCCATGCTTGCCGAGATGTAGTATACAAGACAAAAGAGAGAAACCAAACGAGACGCTGACGGAATATTTATATACTGTTTCGTAGGATAGACTTGATTTATCCCTCCCTTTTGCTTGTTACTACCAAAAAGTTTATTTAATATAGTTGTAAACTTAATCCCGAGAGAGGTCCAGCAAATTTAAGGTATTTGCGTCACTACGAGAGGCACAAAGTTAACTTTTCTGCATTTGTGTGTGTGTGTGCGTGTGTGTGAATACGTTACATTCCAACATGATATCGCGAACCATCTCCGATAAGCATCATTTATCAATCGAATAGGTAGATGCACTATCTTTCTTTTCTTTACATCTACACAATTTCTGTTAATAGATGAGTTATTCAGCGTTTTTCTATGGCTCTTTAATGTCAAAGGTTGTACTTTTAAGAGGTAATCAAGACATTGGAATAAACTGAACCATGACAAGTTAGATTGAGCTCTGCTGTGTATAGTCCTATGCGGTCCAACTGCATCTGATCATGACAAAACACTTAAATTGGATTCAATACAGTTGGGACCTGCTTTGTTGAAGGTAAACTAGCATATTTAAAGATGATAAACAACCCCCTTACGTAATTTTTGCATAAATAGGGGTATAAACGACACTCTCTTATTGGGGAAGAATATCCTGCTCTGATTAACACTGGAGATAAACACGACGCTGTAATGGGTGTTATTTGTCAAGGGCTAGAGTTGGAAGATATCAAAGCATTGGATTGTTTTGAAGGAGATGTATGTGATTATTAGTGGCCAATGGCTTCAGGTTGCTAACATGCAACTGAATAGGACTACGAGCGTGTGCCTACCAAGGTGCTCTTGAAAAATAATACTTTGACTGATACAGAGGTTTATATCTGGATTGGAGATAAAAAGCTGTTATCCGGGGAAGAATGGAGTTTTGACTACTTTATTACTTCAGGCAAAGAACAGAAATGGCTTAATGAGCGATGCGAATTTTACAATGTAGATAAACTTCACGCAATTGATGAAGTCAAATAGTACAAATTCCTGAATCAAGTACATAGGATTGAATAAAAATAGGAGGCCAGGCGAACCCCTTGATTGCATTGGTTACCGTTATGCTACCGAGGCCCTTTTGTTACCAGGCAGAATTTTAAAATTGACTCGATACATCAATTTAAACTGATTCCATTCTCTTGAGCAATTGAATTACAGTTTTGTAGCACAGAATGCTAATGATTAGCCTTTCATATCTGAATGTGGCAAACTGTGAATTATGTACAAACTGAACATGTTAAACAAAAGTAGCATTTGGGAGTACTACGTATGTTTCTATACGGATTCCAATTCTTTGACATGGTAACCAAGACAAGATGATGATGACTAACAATTTTATCGTTTTCAAGCTCATTCTGCTACATCAGTAGCTCATGCTTGTACAAGATCCAAGTGCTGTTCATGATGAAGTAGCAATAAGTCAGTCTTTTCTGCTTCTGATCCTAGCGCAAGTTAAACATCCCACCTGAAGGGTAATGAAGCGAATGATAAAAAAAAAAGGTTTAGGGCGCTGATGAAAATAGATATATGACGCACTGCAATGGCTGTTAATGCAAAGAAGGTGATGAAATAAAGAGAAGCAATGTAAACTTGCCAGACTAAAGATGCATGCCTGACACCAGAAAATTGATAATTTCTTAAAAGAAAAACCATCCTAGACTACAGACACCAGATTTCATAGGATTGGCAAAAATGAGACGTAAGAGAATCGAACTCTTGACCTTCAGATTTGGAATCTGACGCTCTACCAATTGAGCCAACATCCCTTGGTTGTTGATTTTACCATTTAAAACAAGACTACATACTAATAACAACATTTTGAAATTTTAAAATCGCGTTTCTCTTCAACGTACGGCTTGAAATCTACAGTTAAAGGTTGCTCTGGGCTACTAAAGCTTTATTTCTATGGACAGAATGCGCTAAATCTTGCTGAGCTTTAGCGATAGGCACAACCACACAACGTAAAAAAAAAAATATATACCGTATGCTGAAAAGAAACATTATAATAAAAGAAAGAAAAGAACATTACGCATCAAATTTTGCATGAATCAGCTTTAACAAAAATAATACGCCTTTTATTTAGATTAGAAGCTGCATAGGCTGCAGAACTGCCCTTCCAGAAGATATCCGCTACCAATATCTTCAACCAAACAAAACCAAACCCATTGTGGAATTTGAGGCTTTATAGACTAGAACTCACGAAAAAAAAAGAATAAAAAAACAATAGAGTCAACTTGATAAAGGTATGTTTTATTATCAAACTGACAGGCGTCAAGTAAACTGAAGTATCTCTACTGACCAGGTAGATGATCCTTCTTATATACTATAACAATGGATAAAAGTTCTATTAATTAGATTGACAGATAAGTCAACTCAGATCAACTAATGTCTAATCATGCTAAAAGACAACTCCAGCAAGCTAATCATGATTTAGCTTTGCCTGGATGAATAATTAGACTCTTATCCGAAGTACCCTGATCTATCCTTTCTATAAGGATAATTAATATCGATCTAGTAGCATGTATCCGATAGGTACAGTCTTCTTAGTCTATATCAATAGTACATATCTGAGTGTATATCGCTAAGCATACATCTTTAGCATGTATCTTCTGGATATATGGCATGTCTATAGCATATCGTATGCATGTCCATAGCATGTCTCATATATAGTACAAGTCTGTAGTACATAAAGTATCTGTAGCTAGTATCACGGATATAAGCATGTGTCTTATAGCGTGGATCATGAAGTGCACATCTGAAGCAACAAGCTCATATTGCATTAATCTTGGTGTCTATCCAGATATGGTAAACATCCGTAGTCAATGTCGGAATACAAGTATAAGTCTATAGCGCCATCCATGTCCGTGGTGCCATCTATAGCAGCCTAAATCTTATATAGTATGAATCTTATAGTACTAGCGTATCTGAAGTCCATATCTTCTTATAGTATAAATCGATATCGTACATCTAATCCAGCGTACATACAGTTTATATCTAAATCTGGTAACTGGATGAACTGTCGGAATGCAGATCAGAGTGGATGTATTCCACATAACCCATCAAGAATAACGTAAGCCTTATAGACGCTTGTAACCTTTCCAGCACAACAGCAGCTCATGGAACTGAATGTTGGGAGTCAATCTTAACCGATGTATGTTTGGCAAGGCATACGGCATTGGGATTATACTTGGTACCTAGTATACTGCAGCAGCTATATAACTTTCCTTACATACTGCAGTGAACTTATTTAAAGAATATCCCTCGCATAAAACCGTGTGATAGATGCCAGATCCAGTAATTGCACCTTATCTTACTTTTGAATAAAGGATTTAAATTTTATCAATATTTGAATATATTTTTATTACAAACACAAAATTATAATACATGACATCAAGCGGAAATCAACTAGCTGCAGACCTTCGTTGCTTCAACCTCTTAGCCAATCAAATTGCTTGAAAACTCCGCTGAACTAAAAAAAATTTTGCGAGGGTTTCCCCCTGTTTTGATGTGAGGCAAAATTTTAAGCTCCGCATATAGCAGTATAGCAGATGCTATCATCAAATTTCCCCCAGGTGCTAGAGCATGCCTTACTTACACCACCTAGCTTTTAAATTCTGGCATTGAGACTCTCAATCATCACTAAAGTAAGTAGCGATAACCAAGTGGAGGCGGCCTATCTACCTCCTAGCCTCGGATAAAGTCTTGTTGAGCTTCAGGGATAGGCACATCCACACAACGTAAAAAAAAAGGTATGCTTCATTCAAAGAAACATAATAATAATAAAAGAAAATAAAAACAAGAACATACTACTATAGGAGTATAGCAGTACGTAGGCAAAAAAAGGGATACTCACACAAAGTGAGTACTCAAAAGAAAAGTATAACAAGTACAACATCAGAGACGTTCAAAACAGCTCGTTGTTGTTGCAACAAAAATGCATACATGGGCAACGCGCATGGTAGTAATAGTCGGTTGTAAAGCAACATGATGACACAAATACGCACAACTGCAAAAGCAACAGTGGTATTATAAGTTTGCAATACAACGTAATGACTAATGTTGTTTCATGTAAAGCCACAGAGGAAGCACCACCAACAAAAGAAAAAGAAGAAGAAAAAACCGCAACAAGGCAAGCATCAGGAATGCATTATCACGAGGAAGGAAGCAATGATATAAGCGTTCAAAGAAGTTTTATATCATTGCGACCAGAAAAAAGAAGATACTTACCACATACCACCACCGTAGATAGGCCAGAGGATACGCAATTACCAGATATAGATCAGAGAACGAGCATGCACCACCAAAGATAGTAGACCAAGAAATACCAAATTAGCAGCAGCAGCAGCAACAACACCAGCACCATAGTCAAAACGAAGGACGCATGCCACCAGCAGAGACCAGACAAAGACCAAAGAAGCAACCGCCAGACATGATAGACCAAAGACGCAGGCAGCAGAGATAGCAGAAAAGTAATGGCAGCAGCACCCACGTCAAACAGGCAAAAAATTATTAAAACCTAATAAACAATTTCGATTAGTACTAATTCTACGTCTTTCAGTGCTCGTTATCGAATGGTACCTACTATATCCTACTTGAAAGAAGCAGTATCAAGTTCTTCTAACAGTACATGACCGTGTTATCAGAAGCTAGAGTGTTATTTTCAACCAAAAGGGTTCCAAAACCAATATGGTTTGACACTAACGCGTTTTGCAAAAAGGAGAAAAAACGGGAGGTATGGAAGAATGAGAGGGCACCCTATCCAACGTCACGACCAGTAGATTTGGTCGCAGTCTTTTGCCGCGGCAGCCCTAATTGCGGCAATTTAATATGGAGTTGTGTAGTGGGTATTTTCGTGTTCAAACCTGACTTGATCTCACATCTTTCAAACGTTTTTGCTAGATTTGACTATGAAAACTGTCGTTATCACACCCAGCTCTCTGATATAACTTTACAGAACTAAAGAAGCTGCACCGAGTGGTGCTCATTATATTTAGCTTTCAGACCGAAAATAATGAGCAGTTTGCAAAAGTATGAAAACATGGTTTTTGCCAAAATGTCGAGATTTCACATAGGAAAATCTCATAGAAAGAGTTTCCAGTGCTGCATCCCGTATTTGCGATCAATTTGATCTCATATGTATCATAGAAAAAGTCTTCATTTCTGGGGTGAAAAACGCGATCGTTTGATTTTCAAAAATTTTCCCTTGCTAATACTCATGAAAAAACGATGATTCTCATGAATTTGCAATGACCCAAAAAATTTTGAAATAAAGCATTAGGAAGTAAAGCGCAACCTAGGGGAGTCGTTTGGTTCTATTCCAAGCGTCCAAAACGCTTCGTGGCATGAGTTATTTGAGTTGAAAAATGGCTACATTGGAACAAAATTTGACCTAAAAATATGGTATAGTAGGCTGTGCTGCTGAACAAGTAGGTAAATCACAGTGCTTTATAGCGACTGGAATTTTCTGCATTGCAAAAACCAGATCTGTAACTTGAAATGTGGATTACTGTGATGTAAAAGCTCGAGCGTCAATGACATTATACAGCTTCGAATCTTGTACTACATAGCAGTATACTAGACACAGGATTCTCCCTGTATGAAATGTCCCGCCGAACATGCAATGTACATTATTGGTTTCCAACATATATGTTTCAATTTTTTCATCGTGGTTTGCTATCTTCTACCTAACTGCAGTGAAATCAGGTTTGAATAGATTACACAAAAAGAAAAAGCAATAGTGAAATACAATAGAAATCAACTGTATTTTATTTGTGTATAAAATGAACTGAAGATCCTGGAATTGAGTAAAAAAAAAAGAAGAGTATTTATACATTTGCAACTAGCTTGTAGGATTAGTGATGATAGAGAGCAATAGGTTCTGCTATTGCGATATCTGGCAAATGTTGTTGATGTTTGATTTAAAGCGGTAATCAATGCAAGAGCACTAGCCATAAGAATTGATTTGAGTAACCTTGATGGGC